AAATTCATACAGCGTCTAGCAAAGTTCTTATGCACACAAGTTATAAATTTTCTTACAGTTCTAGTACATCCTAAAAGCATTAAATATAATAAAGCAAATACTGTTAATAAACATCTTAGTTATAAAGCTAAAAACTACATCATATCTGTAACCCCCCGTAAAGAACATAGAATAAATCTTTGAAGAAATAGTTTTATTAAATATACATAGAGACCAGATTTACAAATAAGTTTATATAGAATACTAAGTATCAGTTACTTTGAATTTCTGTACTTTAATATGTAAAGTATTTTTATAATACGCTAAATATGTGATCAGCAATTATTAGTAGGGTACAGTTCATGTGACATTTCCCCTGACCGGTATATACGTATACCCCTTTCATATAGTTAACTACATAAAAAAATGTCCATTTCCGAAAAAATTGGCTTCGATTATTTTGTTGAAACACCAGTAGACGACTGGGATTCTTTAGCGTACCATGAATACTGGAGAAACTATGAATTACCTCTAGAAAAGTCAACTGCCACAAGATCATTTAATAAACAAGTAGAATGGTTTTTAAATAACGGCGCATCAGATGAAATGGAGAGAGCCGGCTTTTTGAAGGAGCAATTTAAAGTAAGTTTATCGTGTTGTAGCTAGCCGTGGGACTACGTCTCCTGCACGGTAATGGACTACGTCTCCGCTACAACCGATACCGCTTATTAACATTGTAGCTAGCCGTGGGACTACGTCTCCTGCACGGTAATGGACTACGTCTCCGCTACAAACCGATACGCTTATTAACATTGTAGCTAGCCGTGGGACTACGTCTCCGCTACAACAGTATATGATTGTTATGCTTTTATTTCTTAGATCGATTCGCGGGAAAGTGGTCGTGTATCACGTTTTTGGGAACAAGTTATACACAATACAAAACTTGATAAAATTGAAAAGGATGCTTCTATCAAGATCCGAAGCTTTCAAGTGAGATTGAATAAAATAAATTAAGATTATGGAGATTTACGACGCGTATTATTTACCTCATAATTTTTTCTTAATATAGGCACAGCATCATCTCTCTGTCGCAAACCGTATACTCACGGGAGAAAATAACATACCAGAACCAATTCCCTCGCTTAATGTAAGCTTTATAAAATAAACTAAAGAAACGAATTTTTTAATTGCGATCTAAATAAAGTGGTTAATTTGATTTTTGTCCTTTAACAAAGGGATCGGAAGACGAAAAGGTCGGTAGATGATAATGGTTAAATCGTTTTTTTTTTTCGCAAAATAGTAAATCTTTTCTTTTGCCTTTTAAATTTCAAATAGACAAGATTCGATGTCAAAGTTGCTAATACTTCTTCCAAAGCTACTAGTTCAGAAAAGGTCGATTCCACTGAAGGACTTCGGGCGAACGGAAAGTCAGTTTATGAAAATAACTCGAAAAGAAAAAGAAATGATGATGAGTCGGATTATGAAGGATTGACGTTATTATTTGATGAGTCAAGTGAAGACGCTCTTGTGGAAAGTATAGACGAAAAATTACTTGAACAAGAGAACAGATTGCCACGGGCAAGTGGTAATAGCTCCTCAAAGGTAAACCTTAGCATTAACAGTTGAGAACATTATATTAGTAAACTCATTTACTATTCTAAATAGGTTCGACAAAAAATTATGGATGCGAACATCATTGAAGCCTTTCACAAATATGAAAATAAAATTCCGAAAGCCCGTAGGATTTTCACGTAAGTTTGATGTCATTTTATCATTATTTTTAGTAATTGAAATATTCTATACAATTTACATCCAATAGGCCTGCATATTGGGGAGTTATGGATTTAACCAGAGAAAGTTTATTTGACTGTAAACAGCTCACAGAAGAGGATATAACGCAACTGTCGCAAGACTTTGCCGATAAAATTTCCTGGGAAACAATACCTCCAGAAAAGAATATACAAGAATATTTTGATAGTAATTGTGAGGAAAAGATGATTGACAATCATGATATTAAAAAGCTAGATGCAAACATCCAGTTTATGTATGTATATGTTTTTTTTGATTATATCTTATTATCTGGTTATAGCATTTGACCCTGAATTGTTGTACAGGAAAAGCGATGTACATAGTTTCCAAGGAATGATGACGGAGGAAGAGCTAAAAATGAGCTCAACGTTTCCGCTGTTTCGTGGTGTATTTAATTCCGATAAAATTAAGAATGCTTGGTAAGTCATTTATTTAAATTTGTTTTTAGGTAGGTTTCAATTGTTCAGAATTAATAATAACTATTCTGTATGTAAGGGGGGAAATTCAAGCCTTATCTACAAATGATGCGCGTAACGAAAGGGGAAATCCATTTAAAAAAGCACGAATAGGAAGACGTGTTGATATGAAAAGTACTCTCATCAAAACATCTAATAAATTCGAAGTAATTTACGGAGAGGTGGCTGGAGGTTTGGGTCCGTTTGGAATACCCACTGCATGTCGTAGAAAGCGTTACCTTGATAAGGTAAAGCTTATGATAATAATGCGGGACAGTATAAACAGACTGCTAAAGGAATGTAAATACGTATCAAATGAGGAACGTATGAATTTAATTGTATATGGGTGGCTCCAAATCGGTAAGTTTTGCCTGCACCACTTATTTATGTGAGTTTAATTTGCTAATAAACTTCATTTTTATGGATAGGTCTAGAACTAAACTTCTATGCCATGGACTGGTTAGGAGCCGGCATATACAGATTTGGCTTAGTTGATCGATGCAGATTACCGTCAGACGAAGATGAATTTGAAATGCTTGAAGATGCGTATTGCATCCTCAAGTTACTTGAGGTAAGTAATTTCTATGTTAACGATACTACTACAAATAAATATCTAACTTTTCAGTCAAAATATAGAATAAAGCGCTTGAGAATGAGAAAGTAGTTAAAAAATTACTTTTAGAAAACATAAAGGGGAAACGAAGGCAAACTACATCCAGAACTGAAGCGGAATTGAATGAAAACCGTACTCCCCCAAAATAAAACCAAATCTATACAAATTGAGAAATGTATGGTGGCGAATTCTTAGGCTTATAATTATTTTTCTGCAGGTCCCGACCAAATCAAATAATCATCGGTATTGAGACACTATTAGTCAATAACGAATAATTATATACCCTTCAGTTTGTCTTCAGCGATTAACTGCATGTGCAATGTTTTCTGTTTGTGTAATGTATTTTCATCATTAGTGTTAATAAAGCTTCACTACGTAATGTTTCTCTCTTTTAGTTGATCTCAAATTTTTTCCCTTAACCGCGAAACTTCAAGGTTCCATTTTTATTAAATACAATGTTAATGATCATAAGCATTTAAAGTTTTGAGTTTATTCAATGAGACCTAATTCCCGAAGATGCTCTGGAATAACTATATATGGGTCTTCATAATACCAAACATATCTTAGAGCAATCCAGTTCTCTTCGCATAATTCTTTCTTGAGTTGATCCCGTGCTTGCTGTTTGATAAAATTATCGGGATCGCCATTATGAAAGAATTTGATATATTTTTCGTGTTCGATTGCAAAACTATATTGTGGATAAAATATATCGAGTTCTAGTCCATTTGGATATTCTTGTGTCTTTAAGAAATCAGGCCTGCGAATTAGTGAAGGAGGGCCAAGATATTTTGTTAAAATCTCATAACTTTTCTCTTTTATATTTCGGGCAGAAAGGGCACCACGAGTTTGAATGTTTAATGTTATAGTAGCAAACCATTTATGCTTTTTATCACACATCCATATATAAAGCTGAACGATTATTAATAAAATATTCAGAAAGACACGTCCCACTTCTATTACATGCCACTTGCTTGGCATCTTCAAGTGTACAGGACCTATTAGTTGCGCAATGTGAACACCATGTCTTATTGTTTTTTATATTATTAAAAGATGCATTCCACTCGTGTCCTTCAGAACAACGCCATAATAGAGGTGAAAATCTATTAATATATGTTTCGGAAAGGCATTCCCCATTTTTACCAAAAGCAACTTGTTTAGCATCTTCAATAGTATGACTGGCCTTGTTTGCACAATATGGGCACCATGTCTTACCATTTTTTATATCGTTAAGTCTTGCCATCCATTTGTGACCTTTAGCACAACGCCATAACAAGGGTGAACAATTATTAATATACTTGGTTGAAAGACAAAGCCCACCGCGTTTTTCAGCAATTGCACAAGCATCGTTTATTGTCAACTTTCTCATTGCAAATAGATGATTCTTCAACAAAAAATCAAAACTTTAATTATCAGATTTTTGGAAGCCATGAATCTTTAAGATCTGATAAGAATGTCTCTTTTTTGCGCTTCTCTCGTAACTCTATCTCCCTTTGCAGGTCTAATGGAGTATCAAATCTCAATCGAATTGCAAGTAGATCATCATCTGATTATTTAGATCAAAGACAATAAACTCACCTTTTCGAAGATAGCTATTAATAACTATGGAAGCACTTTTAACATCTTCAATATATCGTCCAATGACCTTGGAAATATCTTGAGGGAAACTTTCACCGTTAAACATTATTAGATGAGAAATATTCTCGTGAATAATTATGATAACGTTGTGTTACATATATGCTTGAAGTGTTTCTATGACGTCCATGAGTAAAGAAAGGGATGATTTGATTTTGTATATACTCTGGAGCAATGCACAATCTTCAAAAATGATAACAGTGCTTCTTTCCGATGAGAATGATTTTACATTTGAAAATTCTTTCAGGAGGAATATAGCTGAATTGTATATTCTCATAATATGATACTTTGGGATCCTTTGCAATTATTTCATACAAATACCTTACAAATATTCATTTTGGCTCAGCCAGATGATAACCACAAACTATTAAATTATCACACTGCACATATCATTTGCCATCTTTTTTCCTCTTGTATACATGCTCACTCTTTTCTCCAAGAACAAGATTTGCAAGTAAATTGATCTTATCTGTAAGAATACTTTCTTATATGAAAAGTAATAAGATAAATTTATTAATTGCTGTAAATAAATTATATCAATTGAGATAGTTTTCAGTTTTAATTTTAATAAAGTTTATTTCTTTATTTATTAAATAGTGAAAAAATCTAAAGAGCTATAATACAGAACAGAAACATTTAAATACATAATTGATGTTAAATGAATTACAAATAAATTAATAATAAAATAGAAGATAATTGGTTCTAAATTATTAATCTTAAAGGTGACGCATCTCCAAGTTATGCTGTACTTAATGAAATATGTATAAAATATAAATAATAATAAAAAATAATTAACACGAATTAAAAATAATAAAAGAACAAGAAAAAGAACGAATAAAAATAAAAGTAATTAAAAACAATGTGTATTCAAATTAATAATGTGATCTATATTTCACATCTAATCTATTTGGCAAAACATTAAGAAATATTAAATGTAGATCTATGTTAATTTCTAATATGTTATACAAAAATTGATAAACATAACACAAAAAATGATAGACATAATACAAGAAATTACAAGAGTATATGAAAATTATTACAATTACCCCCTCTCTTAAAAGTCAATGTTCACATTGAATTAAGAATGCGCTTTTTCAAAAGCTTGAACTTTTTCATTGCATTTTTGAGATTGTTCAAAGGTTTCCAAGTAGAATTATACAAAGGATATCCAGTTCATTTTACAAGGTATTGTGATTGTTTTCTTACTATGCACTTGTCTAGAATATTTTCAACTTCATATTCTTCTTCATTGTCTAATATAATAATAACGGATGGTGATGTTGGTCTATTAAATTCATTATCTTCATTATATAACTTTAGTAACGAAATATGAAAAACTGGATACATTTTCATATTGTTTGGAAGTTCTAATTTATATGCAATTGGTGAAATTTTGTTGATTATATTGAATAGTCCAATATATTGTTACCATTTCATCAAAAAAATTCGTAATTACTTAATTATTGATCAACAAAAATTAAGATGTATTACAAAGA